TTGAACTGTTATTTAAATTTTCCTAATATTTATGTCTTGTCTCCCCATTTACTGTCTATGGGACAGGCACTGTGGAATCCTTACAGCATCTAGTTCAGTGCTCTGATGTAGTTAAGAAAAATCTCTTTCATCTAGATGACTGTTATCTATAGAAAATCTGTTTAAAGAGCTGAGAGCTTTAATGATAGCAAAACAAACCCTTTCCTGATCTCTTCTGATAAATTCTCCTTTTTCTATATACTTATACAAGCTTGTTATAACACCTATCAAAAAAAACTATACTCATTTACTTACTTATCTACTAACTGGAGAGCAGAGGGGCTACAGTACATTCATCTTTGTTGCCCTAAAGCTCAAACTGGTGTCTAACATAGTAAGTGCTCATTAATAAAAATAAAATCATCCCATTTTCAAATATTTACTAAAAATATTTCCAAATACTTAACACTGTGAAATGTTAATACTACAAATTCAAATTCAACACAATTACTACCAAAATCCTAATGACACTTTTTACAGAAATGGAAAAACTCATATAAATTCACATGGAGTCTCAAGGGATTCTAAATAGCCAAAACAACATTGAAAAAGAAGAAAAAAGCCAGAGGCCTCACACTTTCTGATTTTAAAACTTAACAAAACTACAGTAATCAGAACAGGATGATACTGGCCTAAAGACTTATTACACCAATAGAACAGCATAGAAAGTCCCTAAATAAACCCTCACATACATGGTCAAATGATTTTTCACAAGGATGCAAAAACCATTCAACAAGGAAAGCACAGTCTTTTCAGCAAATGGTGGCTGAGGAAACTGTATGTCCTCATGCAAAAGATCGAAGCTGGACCCTTACCTAAGACCATATACAAAAATGAACTCAAAATGGAGCAAAGACCTACATATAAGGCCTAAAACTACATAAAAATCTTGGAAAAAAATGCAGAGCAAAAGCTTTACAACATTGGATTGGCAATAATTTCTTAGGTATGACAACCAAAGACATGGCAACAAAATAAAAATAGACAAATTGGATTGCATGACTACTATAAAAATAAAAAACAAAGCAAAACAACACAACTAAAATACAACAATTGTGGGCAAGGATATAGAGAAACTGGAATGCTTGCACACTATTGGTAGAAATGCAAAATGGTACAATACCTGTGGAAAACAGTATGGTGGGTCCTCAAAAAAATTAAAAATAACATTACCGTATGATCTAGTAATTTCACTTCTAGATGTTTACTCAAAAGACCTGAAAGCAGGTCCTGAAGAAGTTCTTGCACACCCATATTCATAGCAGTATTATTCATAGCTAAAATGTGGAAGCAAACCAAATGTCCACTGACAGATGAATGGATAAGCAAAATGTGGCATATACATACAATGGAATATTGCCCAGCTTTAAAAAGAAAGAAAAGGAAAGAAAGAAAATGCAGATATATGTTATAACATGGATGAACATAATATTCTAAGTAAAAAAAAAAAAAAAAAAAGCAGTCACCAGACACATCTTGTATGGTCTTACACATGAGGTCCATAGAATGGTAAAATCCAGAGACAGAAAGCAGAACGGTAATTACTAGGGGCTGGTGAAGGAGGAATGAGAAGTTATTGTTCAATGGACATAAAGTTTTCAAGATAAAAACACTTGTAGAGATAGATGGTAGTGATGATTGCACAATATTATAAATATATTTAATAACACTGAACTGTATACTTAAAATCATTAAGATGTTGAATTTTATAAGCGTATTTTACCACAATTAGAAAATTGGGAAAAAAGTCTGTCCTGTTTGAGACATTTATGCTGGCATTATAGTGAGGTGTCAGGTGTTAACTATCCCCTTCAATATGTGAGACAAAATGAACTAGTCTAAACAAAGAAATAACAAAAAGCTTTATATATGACAATGTACTAAGTGAGTAAAAAAACTAGATTGAAACTAAAATTAAATCAGATCTCATCCTCTCCTCTCCTTACCAGTATATATGTCCCCTTGTTTCCAAAATAAATCATAACCATATGCAACTTGGGGCTATGTGTTTATGCATAAGCTTATTAATTACAGAAAAGTACTGCTGAAAATATTTTCAGGCAAACAGCAGAGATAAAACAGAGCTACAATGTCCTTTAACGTAGCAAAAAGGTAGAGAATACTAAAAACCTTCTTGTTGTCCTAAGGACAGACAAAAGGAAATGAAACCGAATAGACAGAAAAACTATCTAAAATGTTGATTAGTGGAAATGAAGGTCAAGGTCTGCTATCTTTGTAAGCTAACTTATTTTTTTAATCTCTGTATCCAGGTTCTCTCAATTTCTCTGAAAAATATGGCACTGTTTTACAGAGCAAACATACCAGAAAAAGTTGCCAGGCTATTTTTTACTCTTCTAAAGCACCTTTACAGTCTTTTGACATGCAAGTTATCACAGAGCTTATCATCAGAAAAAATTTAGAATAACAGAAAACAGATTTCTTTACATGATTGCAGGATAAACATAGAACAAATTCTTAAACAAAATATCAAAAGCAGAAAACAATTTAAAAAAGAGTCTGGACTAAACATTAGATCTAAGAGCCAATGCGCTTTTTATAATAATAGTGACAGCAGCAACATGGCAGTAGCAGTAGCTCTTGTTTACTAAAAGCTTACTGAGTGCCAGGGACAGGGAACTTATGAAATTGTCATTTAATCATCATCACAATTCTCTGGATTTGCCAACGCACAGCCATTACAATTATATGCAAGATTACCTATGTCATTACATCTTTTCCTAAAACAAATCAAACAGTCAAAAAAAAGTAAAAAACAAAGTTCGAATAACAGACTTGATTTTGTTACATGCTTTAAAAAATTACTTTATACCTTATACATGTACACATGCATACAGAGAAATTATTTTCAGGGTCACTACAGAGGAGTAGATTTTAGGAGACTTAAAAATTTAGTAAGTTCTTAAAATAGCCCTGAAGATTGGTGCAGTTTTCTCTCTATTTAAATGGATTAGCCTCCAGTCATTACTGCTCAAAATGATACTAATCACTTTAATTCTGATTAAAGGGGCAAGCGGGGCCATTCCAGACAAACTGTTAAGTCAGCAGCTGCCTCACTCTCCCAGGAAAGCCTCTGAGAAATATTTACAACCCTGTCTGTGGCTCTACGGATATATCTTCTTATTTACAGTGAAGCCAATAGATTTTTAATCAAAGGAACTTTTAAGATAAATGCAAATTTAAACAAAGGAAATGTCACAAATAAAGAAATCTGATTTAAAAAAAATTTGATTTAAAAAACAGCAATGTAGCTCTACTCTCTTTGACAAATACTGGGTGCTTCGTTGAGATTTTAAATTTCTTCTTCAGAGAAATCCTTGCAATCTATTTGTGACTAGCATAACAATTCCTGTCAAAATGCTTTATCCTCACATCCTTGTATGTCAACTTATGATATCTAATTTCCAATTTTCTTTTATTTTTAGTGTCTAGATTACTACTCTCTCTTGATTATGAAAACAAATTACAGTAAGTGAAAATGCTTAATAAAATCTTTTCAGAATGTTTATTACAGATAATATCATTTCTAAGAGTACAATCTCAAGAAAATCAAAGGTATGTTTGATCTATAGTTGCAGAAAAAAGTTGCACTTTTTTTTTTTTTGAGGCACAGCTGACCCTGAATTAAGAGATACTCCTGCCTCTACCTCCTGAGTGCTGAAATTACAGGCATGTTACACTATGCCCAGCTCAGAATTTTGAATTATAAAGAAAAAAAACCTTTGAAGGCTTATAGAATGGAGTATACAGATAACCCACCAACTAACTCAGTTATGCTGATGACCATAACTAAAATAATATGGATTTGACTGAAAATCAATAATGAAGGGTGCATTTCATTTATTCTGTGTTTCTATAAAATTTTTATTTAACCCATATTTTGGAAAATTGAGTACTTTAAATTCCTGAAAGGTAATTTCTTTTTTTTTTTTTTCTTTCATTTTTCTTTTATTATTCATATGTGCATACAAGGCTTGGTTCATTTCTCCCCCCTGCCCCCACCCCCTCCCCTGAAAGGTTAATTTCTACTACTAAGACAAGCCCTATGCTAATTTCTTCATAGAGTAGTAAATGCTGTTTCTTTTGTAGATTTAAATTTATTTTTATAGAATAAAGCACAGTACTCTAATGATGAAGTCAGATGCTTTGTTAACTACAAACATGATCTAGAATAGAAAGTAAGAGAACTGAAAAACGTGTTAATTCTTGTTTAGCTGCCTTAGAGAACAGTTTTTTTTTTTTTCCAGTGCTGGAAACTAAACCTTGTGCATGCTAGGCAAGTGATCCACTGAGCTATAGACACTCAGCCACTGAGAATGATAAAATTTTAACTGCAGTCCATTAATAGCTATAACACATAAGTAAAACAACTTGAACTATTTTAAATATATTTCGTATACCTTAATACTAGACACTGTAACCCTATTCATATTTTTTCTTTAAATTAGCACTGCTTAACATATACTTTTTGGTAAATACTCTTAAAATGAAACTAGTGAGAATAATAAGTATAGCAATGAAAAGCAGGATTCAAGTCATAGCTCTTTCGCCTATTAGGACTGTCAAGTTGCTTGGTCTTCCTGTGGCTCAGTTTTCTTATCAATTCACTACTACTGAGCCACATTCCCAGCTCAACAGTTAATGTTTACAAGGCACTCAGCAAGTGCCATACACAGAAAGCATTCAAATAACTGTGTGATATTATTTTTGCTGTTCTGGGTTTTATCACTGACTACCACAAATGCCAAATTGTATTCTCATGTTGGGGCTCAATATAATAAAGTCAAAGAGGACAGAATGAAATTTCACATCAGGGCATAATTTCTCATTTACCAGTTATTTGATTTACTGTAATATTTTCACTTTCTTGTGCTTTTAGGAAGATAAAAGTAACAAGAACTAATGATGTCCTTCATTGAAACACCAATACAGAGATCACTCACCTGTGCAGCTCTTCTGTTTTATCTTCAGTTGGACCTACAATTAGTAAACAATGGCGAAGGACAGCTGCCATGACACGGAACTGATGAGAATCACTCTATAATAAATTAAAAAAGGAGAGGAAAAATTGGGGTTGAATGCTTTAATGAAAAAGCATTACTACATCACTTGCACCCTAAAACTTCTTATACTACACAGGGAGACAGCAGAATATTCTAGGAAGATTTCCCAAGACAATATTAAGTAAACATTGTCACTATTTTACATAAACAATCACAACCACCACAGAAATGGCTGACGACAGTAGGCGCTGATCTTGCGGCTCTGCTGCTTTACCTTTTCTGATGGCTCAATTGCACTAGGGAATTTTTCATTTCCAGAAAGTCTAGATTCTTTTGTTCTAAGGTGTACTGTTTCAGTTTACTAATCATTATAAAAGTTCAAATAAATGTAATACTGTCTTACATTAGGATATTTAAGGAGCTGGTAATATGTCTTTAATAAAATGTCTCATCTGTTAACTTTCAAAAGCAAAAAATTCATCAACCTCATTTTGATGAAATTTTTTAAAATCAGTCTTCTATAGCTATTTATTGAATCCCATGTTTGGCTCGAGAATATTAAAATGTAGTATGTTACCTTTGAAAAGTTGGTATTTTGTTAGGGTTTTATGCAACAGCCATATATAAATTAGAATAAAAAAGAAATTGTAATTATTTACCATCTCTGCATGCTCCCAGGTCCCACAAAATACTAGCAAGTGATAGAAAACAAGGGATCTGAATTAATCTCCACCTACTTTTCCAATGTGCATTCGTTGGCAGTGATATTAAAGAGAGAAGGCTAACAGTCAGGTGCCAGTGGCTTATACCTGTAATCCTAGCTACCCAGGTGGTAGAGATCAGGAGGATCACAGTTTGAAGCCAGCCTGGGCAAATAAGTTTGTAAGACCCTATGGTGGTGTGGCCCAAGGGGTAGGCCCTGAGCTCAAGCCCCAGGACTACAAAAGAAAAAAAAAAAAGAGAGGAAAGAGAGAGAGAGAGAGAGAGAGAGAAAGAGAGAGAGAAGGCTTACAGTATGAACTAAACTAAACTCCGAAGAATCACTTGGTTTTCCTGTTCATTTATAGAGATCTTGGACCATTACAATTTCTTTAACTATCTGTATCTAGGTCCTATCTTTCTTCATCCAGATTTTAAGCAATTAAAATAATACCACATGAAATTAGAGAAAATTTGATAGCCTAGATATGGCATATTTCAGGAAGGCTCTAATTTGCTATTAAAAATTTTAAGTTTCTTAGTGTGCAATTGATTTCAGGTCCATGTGAAGTGAAATATGTTCACATAAACATATACCCTGTATTTATACATGTACCTCACACAGTCCTTCTAGTAAACAACAGGACACACTTTCATTACTCAGAATGTGGATGATTTTATTTTAAGTACAACACCATAACATATAGATTTGGAAGAGATAACAATTTAGGTGGTATAATGAAAAAAGCACTGCACTAGGTTATGACTTTGGGCAAGTTGTATAGCTTCTCTGAGCCTTGGTTTCCCCACATGCATCTCCACAAACATGAAGTTCTGTTAGGATTAAAGAAAATGATATGCACAAAAGTGCTTTTAAGCTTTCAATAAAACATGAAGATGAGGGTGAAGAAAGAGGAAGGAAACGAGGTGAGACTGATAGAGCTGCAACAAGTGGTAAATAAACAACTGTGAGAGGAAAGGGAGAAGGAAAAGAAGAGGAACTAGTGGAATGACAAAGGCAGAAAGAAGACTGGCCAAGGTTGAAATGAATGTTGTCCCACTTGCCATCCACCCCCAAATGCTTGAGTGAAAAATTCTCTCATCTGTAAATATACTTTTACTTACTCCCAAATGACAAAGAATACTGAAACCTATGTGAAACTCAACTATGACTTAACTCTTGATAAAAGATTGTATTTTCCTTGGTTTTGTAATTAACTGGGAAATATGCTCCCCTCTCCCTGTTTTTTTATTTTTATTTTTTTGCAATGCTGAGGATTGAACCCATAGTTTTGCATATACAAGCAGTGAATTATATCCCTAACCCTTGATTTTTTGAGATAGGGTCTTACTACATAGTTCAGCTGGCCTTAAACTCAAGATCCTCCTGCCTTTGCCTCCCTAGTGCTAATTACAGGTGTGCACCATCACACTCAGGTATGCTTCCTTTTAAACTAGATTTTCCTTTATTCCAGCATAATAACCTTTCTTTTCTCATGCTGATGGTGATAAGCCTCTTGCAGAACTATCCTTATTGGTCTTTCCATTATTTGCAACTGCAAACCAAACTCCTACTTTCCACCCTTTTCCCAAACTCTCTAGTTTCCCTAACTCTTATTCCCAAGTTGTATTTTCAGTTTGCAATGCCTACTTTTTTTTTTTATTATCATCATCCCTTCATCATTCTCCCTTATCCCCCTTTCTTAGAATAGTTTCAACAGGTCTCATTTTTCCATTTTCATACATGAGTATATATTATTTCCATCTATTTACCTTCCTACACCCTTTCCTTATATTCTCTCCCCTCCCACTGGTACCAAGCCCCAGACAGGACCTGTTTTACCTTCCTACTTACCGTTTTTGAAAAAAAGACATTTTTATTTAAGATAGCTATATAGGAAGTTTTATTATGACATTTCCATGTATATATGTGTTATATCCCAAACTAGCTCATCCACTCCATTCTTCTCCTTTCTACTTTAATACCCTTCTTATGGTGATTTCAACAGGTTTAAAATTCTATATTTATTCTTGTATAGATAGTACATCAACCATATTTACCTTCTTTACATCCTTTTACCCTCCCTCTCTCGTTAGCGCCCTCCCTTTAGCATGACCTTGTTGGGTCTGGAGACCTAAGGCAGATGAGTGAGTATCCCATCCCCCATGGAGAGAGCACTGTATTCCTGCATCCTGAGAAGGAGTTGTAAATCTGCATTTCTGCACCCTGAAGAGGAGATACAGGTTCTTGATAGGTCTGCTACAGGGCTGATGAGCAAAATGCTCTCAAGATTGTTTCCCCTCACCCATAAGGAGCAAACAGACCAGTTCATCTAAGAAAGCCCGCAAATCCACGGCTTATGAAAAGAGGCCACCTAACCCTTACCCAAGCCCAGAGCTAAAACGTCCATAAACACCCAAGCCTTCACCTGAGCAGCGAGCTACCAGTTTCCGGGCTCTGCTGCACTTCTCTAGCTGTAGCCTTTGCTTTCTCTCTAACAAATCCCACTTCATATACCGGCTTTGGCTCACAAATCAATCAGCTGCCTATAAGTCAGTTCTCTGGCCCGTAAAGGCAAGGACCCTCGACACCAGCCCACAACACTTCAGACCAGCATGTAACATTTTTGGTGACCACAAAGGGACTTTTCTTCTGGACCAAGGTCGGTATGACTTGAGTGCCAAACCAACAGGGGCATGCCTAAGGTGCAACCATGAATGTCTGGTGCCCTGCTGGATGCTCCTGCTGGGGGAAACCCCTGCTAAGGACTAGCCAAAAGCAGACTTCCTTGAGCTGCTTGCCCTGTCTCTCTCTCTGTTCCCATCTTCCTGAGGGACTTTCCCATCATGGTATCAAACCAACAGCTCCTAGCCAACTTTAGGCTCATGGTGATTCCAGCTCTGGGGATGCTTTTGCTTCCTCCCTGGGGGCTGAGACTGAGCCTGGAGTTTATTTGAGTACACCTTATGCTACGTTGGAGGAGACCTGATTGGTTGTGGCACCTGACTTCTCTTTTCCCATCTGTCAAATACCCCTTCTGCCAGAAGCAGTTACCCAAGAGTGGAGATTTCCTGTTGCTGACAGTGTTCCAGTACCACCTAGTGGGAGGGACCTAGAAGCACACCTAATCATTAATCCCTCAGGCATGTGTCCTGTCTCCAAGTTCTGCCTTCCCCTCTGTTATCTAAGATGTCAGGACACCCGTTCTGCTCCCTCCCTGGTCCCATGCATTGTCCTTCATCTCTGTCTGCCTTCCTCTCCCTGGGCTTACTGAGACCCTGGCCTCCCATGAAAAACTCGTACCATGGTACCTTGTGACTTTCTTAAGTTACTCCTACACCTAGTTTGCCAGGCCCCTCGGTCCTAAGCAGCTTTAAATCATCTGCTAGGCACCGGTGGAGGCAAAGGTGCCTTCACAAAAACTGAGGCTGTGCCACACACTCATGACCTAACTCTGCCCCGACAAGGGGAGGAGGGAAAACAAACAAGCGCACTCGTGTACAGAGATGCTGGCCCCTGGGCGCAGTGGTAATGTCTGCCATAAGCTAAGGCAATCCATAAAGGGCCCAGCATGCATCCACAGCCACCAGCCACACATGGCAGTGGCTGTGACCCACCGCCACTCCCCCTAAAATGGATGAGAGGAAAAATAAACGCGGGCAGGCGCACATACACAGGGGGAGGGGCGACAGGCTGCAGGGTTGAGTCTGGGCAGACGGGATCACTTGTCCCAGGCATGGAGGGTGGCTGTGCTTTGCACAGGCCACCCCACCTCATGCCTGGGGTCTGACTGACCCAGTCCTTGGAAGCCAATTCTTATCTCAAAGTTATGGTCCCAAAACGCACTAATGTAACCTTCCGGGAACAGCAAAATGGGCATTGTTATGGTCTCTAAAGTTCTCATTTAAAATTTCCTATACTTTTGGCCTCAGCAAAAAAATTTTTTTCCTCCAAATATTAACACTAGTTATCCCTTGTGCACTGTGATTGCCCCGGGACCCCCCTCTGAATACCCTCTGACCTTACAGGTGATGCATCCCTTTATTAATGAGGCTGCCTGCTGTTAGCTAAAAGGCAGGATCCTAGAGGGTTTTTTTTTCTCTCTCATTGCGTCGGTCAGGTGACCTAATCCCACCAGTCACTTCCTTCGGTCCTGGTCAGGGATGGCAAGAAGGAAGCCATGAGAGGGACACCTGCTCTTGGTAGTTAGGTCTGATCCCCAGTTGGGATGCTGATAAAAGGGGAGTCTGACAAGATCATGTAAATGGGACTTGCCCCTTCCAGTCTTCTGGCCTTGGTACCCAAGAGGTCTCCACTGGCCTGTCTATTAAAATG